ATCATCATCATCATCATCATCATCATCATCATCATCATCATCATCATCATCATTGCCTTTCTCACCCTGAATCAGGATATAATATAGACTACGAACAAACGCTTTCCACCTTTCCCTATTCTAGGCGTGTCGCTTGATATCACCGCATGTTGTTCTCCCACTTTTCTGTACGTCCAAACGAGTACCCAGCTAGAATATAAAATAAAATGACATACATTACTACCAGTAACTTCTCTACTCACCTGTCGACCACTCGTCCTAGAGTAGGGGAAACTTTCAGGGGTTGCTCTGGGGACTTGCCATTAACCTCTCGTTTCTTCTCGCCATTTCTGTTTAAGAAAAAAAAAATCAAAACAGATGTTCTTACGCAGCCATCGATACAATTTAGGTCATTTAGTAGGCGGCTTTTGATTCTGTCAATTCAGCCAGAGCCGATCCGGTCTGAGACTGAGAGGGATACAACGTCACAGTAGAAAGACCGAGATTGTACTCGATGGAGTTTTTGTTTGTTTGTTTTTGCAAAGTGTTTTACTGCGCTCGCAACTGCATAAGGTCATATGAGCGCGCGGGACACACCTAATATTTTCAGTTGGTAGGAAATTTTGAATTTTGCCCCGGTGGCGGACGAAGCCTACTCTTATCGATTTTAGACCACCAAGAGATCTTTAACGTGCGCAACCTGCACACGGGCCCTCCGATATTTTTGGCCCTTGTCCGAGATGGCTAGGTGTAGATCTTTCCTATCAGAAGATCAGGGGTGTGGCAGAAAGACAGCAGTTAGGAGGAGCCAAGGAGTAGCAGTAGAAAGACTGCAGAAAGAATCAGGAGCCCAGAGGAGGGGGCAAAGGAGGTGAGGGTGTGGGGGCAGAAAGAGGAGACGAAAGCAGACGAAAGAATATTGCTAGAAAGCAGGAAAGGAGATGAAAGGAGACACTTTTAGAGAAGAAAAATTTTTGGTCGCTACCCGGATTCGAACCCGGGACCTTTGAATGAGAGGCCAACACCTTAACTTCTAGGCCACGAGAGCCCCCCGATAGAGTTGGATTGTTTTCTTTTCACTCAGGAGTCGAGCTCTGTTCTCCTGCGTGTGTGTGACCTCGAAGTGCCTAATCGCTACACCACATGCACCGGTGTCATTTCTGTGGAGAGAGATAGACTCGTCTCTGTTGGGTGTTGGTGTCTTTGGGTGGTTTTTTAAGGGGGGTTGGGTTACCTGAACTTTTTTGTAGTTGTTGTTGTTTCTTTCTGCAACGTAAGAACTGCACAGACGAAATGGAGGCATCGCAAACCCAGTCTCGGTCTCTCTCTCTCTCTCTCTCTTTCTCTCTCTCTTTCTCCCCCCCCTCTCTCTCTCCCTATCTCTCTTTCTCCCTCTCCACTCCCCCCCTCTCTCTCTCTTTCTCTTTCTCTCTCTCTCT